GGTCAGAGACACTTCTGTCTGCTCCCCCAATAATGAAGCCCTTCTGCTCCGACCTACCGTTGTTCTAGTCCAGTGCCCCATCTCTGGTTTCTCATCTAGGCAGTACCAGGCTCCACTTCTCAGGCTTCTCAATCCGGCCCATCTTTTTACCCAGCCAGATCCAATTTTTCACCACCTCTCCTCATCCTCTCTCCACTTACCCTCAGGAAAATGTGCCACCACCCTTGTATTCAGCTAGTCATCATTCTATCCCAACACTTGTCAGATGTTGGATTTTCCTACCCCACATATCAAATTTTCCCACCCCACTGGTTCCCCATCTCCTTCCTTGTCTAGTCAATATCCTCCTCTCCCTACTGTCTTCTAGCTCTAACCTAAGTCTATTCCCTGGGCTCCACAAAGGTTCATTTCTTATATTCCTTTGATTCAAATGACACAAATTCCTCTTCCACCTTACCTTGGATGTGGGTGTGCAAAGGCAGAATTTAGAGCACAAAGTCTTCCAATTCTCACTGTGACCTGAAATTTTTTTCTTGCTGGCTTGACTAAACATGAGCAAATTTTGCAGATCAAGCCCTGACAAAAGCCTAAAATCCTGTTAAATTTCAAGTCCAGATTCCCATAATATATTGGTGGCCTACAGCTTTTCAAAAGAAAAGTTTACCAAAATTTTTAACATGAACATTTAAAAAAAACCCTTTTTTAATTTTGACAACTGACTTGAAATGATGCTAAGTTAATGTAACATCACTATGTGGAGATGCTGTCTGATGTTCAAAAGTATTACAGTAAGCAAACTCTAAACAATACCACGTGAAAAACTGCTACAGTACAAAAAAAAAATCCCCACAAATCGAACACTATTAGTTATGGCATACCATACTTCCCTACAACTTATATGGAAAATCCTCATATAGCAAAAAGCCACCCTATACACAAGACCCACGTGGGACAGCGACCTCCAGATTGGACAGCCGAGATGATACAGGGGGATCACACAAGTCTGCCAGAAAGGGATAAAAGGCAGTGAAGTGCCTTTTTATCCCTCAACGCCGATAAATGCAAGGTTCTCCACCTTGGGAAAAAAAACCCGCAGCATCCTTATAGGCTCGGCAGTGCTATGTTGGCTAGCACTATGCAAGAAAGAGACTTGGGGGTCATCATTGACCACAAGATGAACATGAGCCTGCAATGTGATGCTGCGGCTAGTAAAGCAACCAAAACACTGGCTTGCATCCATAGATGCTTCTCAAGCAAATCCCAGGACGTCATTCTCCCCTTGTACTCAGCCTTAGTGAGGCCGCAGCTGGAGTACTGCATCCAGTTTTGGGCTCCACAATTCAAAAAGGATGTGGAGAAGCTTGAGAGAGTCCAGAGAAGAGCCACGTGCATGATCAGAGGTCAGGGAAGCAGACCCTACGATGACAGGCTGAGAGCCATGGGGCTCTTTAGCCTGGAAAAGCGCAGGCTCAGGGGTGATCTGATGGCCACCTACAAGTTTATCAGGGGTGACCACCAGCATCTGGGGGAACGTTTGTTCACCAGAGCACCCCAAGGGATGATGAGGTTGAATGGTCACAAACTACTACAAGATCGTTTCAGGCTGAACATAAGGAAGAATTTCTTTACTGTCCGAGCCCCCAAGGTCTGGAACAGCCTGCCACCGGAGGTGGTTCAAGCACCTTCATTGAACACCTTCAAGACGAAACTGGATGCTTATCTTGCTGGGATCCTATGACCCCAGCTGACTTCCTGCCCTTTGGGCAGGGGGCTGGACTCGATGATCTTCCAAGGTCCCTTCCGGCCCTAATGTCTATGAAATCTATGAAGTGTCACTCTTAGTGGAGCCCTCTAATCCAGCACCTGACCTTCCGAGACAGAAGTACAAGCAGGCGACCCTCTTCTGAAGAAGACATCGCCTTGAAGGAAGCTGACCAACAACAGCAGACTCCAGGGCCTGGGACAGGTATATATACTGACACGAGTGCTCTCACAATCACTACAGCAGCTACTATACACTATACTACATGGGTTTGAATGCGTGTGTGTGTGTGCACACTATGGTGACCAGTACCCCTCATAACTCAAAGTTTGCATTTATGATTTTATTGGTAACTTCACATCCCGTACAACAAATTAGAATTTATTATTATCCTGAGAGTTGGTCCTTTGTAGTCAACACTCAAAAAACTGCAACCCCTACAGCCCATACTAGAAGAGCCAACTCTTAAACAGATCTTTCCAGAACCACCCATCCTAGCCTTTAAACAAGCACTGCAACTTGCCAACTTCATCACCAGAAGCAAACTTCCTATGGTCCAAAGCACAGCAAATAGATCCAGACCATGCCAGGACAAAAAATGTAAAACCTGCCAACACATCTCCACCACTGCCACAATAACTACACCCCATAACAGAACCATCACCATTCCTGGATCTTACACTGGCACCTCCAGAAATGTAATATATCTCATCCACTGAACTAAATGCCCTGATGGAAAATATGTAAGAGAAACCAAACAACAACTGTGTACCAGAATGAATGCATACTGAACATCTATCAATGACAAAAATACCTAATTACCTGTGGGTACAAACTTCTCACAAGACAACCACTCTCTATCTCTAGTCTCTCAGTTCTAATCCTCAAGGGGAATTTACAAAGCACCTTTTGTAGACGAGTCTACGAACTTCACTTCTAACTCTACTGGATACAAAAAATCATGGACTAAATACAGACATTGGATTTATGGCACATTATAACCTGCCTGCCATCCAGTAACCCCAGATAACTTGTCTGCATTTTACCAGCTAGGTTCTATCACCTTCTCTCTCTTCCTCCTCACTCCCCAACTACCTTCTTACCTACTGTCTCCCATTCCCTTTAAACCTCACTGCCACTCATTTGCATTTTCACAGACCTGCATTTTGCATTTTGGCTTCTGTTCTACCCAGGAGAGCACACAAACACCAACAAACCCTCCCTATGCCTGAAGAAGGGCAGTTGTGCCTGAGAGCTTGCAAAGAACAATTTCCCCAGCTATTTAGTTGATCTAATAAAAGATATCACACATCTACCCAAAAAAACATTGCCTGCTTATGTCCTTAGACCAACACAGCTACAACCAACAACTCTCAACAATAAATACACACTCAGCTATAGGGTAAATTGATACAACAAAATACAAGGTAAAATACTTGTTAAAAATAAAACTGCTGTTTAATCAAGATGTAGTCAATTAACTATTATCTAAAAACCTAGTGTTGCAGAGAAAATGCATCATTTTCATCATTCATAAGGAAACAGACTTTTGAACTTTATGATTTGACGGCCTTGGAAAGGGCAGCAAACAGAAGAGTGCAGATCAGAATAATTTCTGACTATATGGTTTGCATGCTTAACATGTATATTCAAAGAGTTACGGTAATCCTAAAACCACTTTTGTAGACATGTTCTTTTACTGCCTCCTTTCTCTCCCTTGTTACAACCCATAGGCAACTCACGAGGAAGCATGTGTCCCCCCCACTCCCTCCGCCACTGCCGGCAGTCGCGGCTCATCACCCCACCACCACCGCTGCCGCCCACAAATTGTGTCCCACCCCCATCTCAGGAGGCACCAGTTGTTCATGTACCAACCTGCTGCTGCTTTGTTGCTTTCTGGGAAAAAAAAGACATTCCCTTTTCTTTGACATTCCTTTTTCATCTCTTCCAACCCAAAGCTCTGAACCTGTACCCCACCCTCTTCCTCCTTGACATTCGCTCCCTTTGATAATGTCATTCATGCTCTTCTTGATATCTTTTCCTTACTTTGTTTCCTGTGACTCCATCCTATCCAAGCTCATCTCCAACATCTCCTTCAATGTCCCCTTTGGAGGATTCTCCTTATCTAGTCACCTACTCAACTTTCTGGGACAATTTTACATGATTTTAGCTTTGAGGGTACCTTCCTTCTCCCTCTACACCTTATCTCAGGGTAACCTCATTTGCAAACACAAACTCAGCTACTTTTTCTATGCCAATGACTCACAGAGACTCTACCCCAGATGAGCATCCTACTGTTCAAACTGATATCTCTGCCTGTTTCTCAATCAATTCCATGGAGAAGACTGGCCATCAGCTCAAGATCAACACTGTTCTTAATTTTTCCTGCCATGCCTTCCTGCTATTGAATATTGATGCCTGTGGACATTACCACCTTCCTGCCTTTAATTCAGGCTGTACCATGGACACCATCTTTGACTTATAATTTCTTTCTAAATCCACACTACCAACCAGTCTCTGATGCACCTATCCATGAAAATCACTAATTATACCATATCAAATGTTGTCATTTAGGGTTTTTAACTCAACTTTTAAGATTACAAAAAATGGACTAACCAATTATTTTAATTTCTTCCTTACCTCCAAATGTTGTGAATATATTTACCGAAGCCCATGAATGAATCTGTTTTCAGAGTAGAATTAATTTAATGTTTCAATTCAAAGTTTTATGTGAAAATAAGGATAAGCCAAAAATCTTCTCTCTACCCTCTAATCTCAACAATGAGAATTCTTAAACAGTATATACAGATTGCATTTCTCTTTACTATTTTGTACTATGTATGTACCATGAATACTTTTAGCTTCCTGCACCACTGACATTACAGCTTTCTCTTTAAGAACTTTTACAAAGGTGGAGGTATACAAACAGAATACAAATGGAATAGTGCCAAGGAGTAACATGTAAAGTTTTAACCAATAGATGAACACTGAAATTAAGATAGTTTCTATTTTAAAAAATCTTAAATATTTAAGACATCATACTAATGTCTGTTATACACCTATGAGACTATGCTCCCAGCCTAAACAACAACACTGTAGGATAACCATAGCAGAACAACTAGTTTTCTTCATTCCTGGTTAGGGCAAAAAAATCACTAGAGAATTAGGTCTGTAGCAGGATACAAGGGGACCAGTTGGATAACCTGTTAAAAAAATATCTAACAGAATAGAGCCTTACCTTCCCACAGAAAGTACTGTAACTTCTCCTTGCCGGCTTTTTCTTTGCTCTTTGGATTTGTTGACTGGTTTTATAAGGTGCCATCTTTTTTGACTACAGCGAGTACAAACATCCTTCTCTGCTACTCCTCCAACAGTGTGGAAGTGATGGCCACGACAAGTATGTTTATGTAGGATGACACCTGGAGATAAAGGAGAGCCTGGACTTATAGGACTCCCGGGAGTGGTAGGAGTTAAAGGGCTATTTAAACAAAAAAAGGAGAGAGGAAGAAAAAAAGAAAATTATTTGAGAATTCATTTTAATTGAAATGTATTTTTTTTGTTTTTAGAAATGGAGTTTTATCTAAGTAATAATCTAAAACTGTTCTATAACATAATCTAAGCTTATGTCTAGCTATTGATAAATGTAGGTCCTTCATAGTTTCATAGTTGGTAGGGTCAGAAGGGACCTAAGCAGATCATCTATTCTGACCCCCTGCCATGGGCAAGAAAGGATGCTGGGGTCAAATGACCCCAGCTAGGTGGCTGTCTAGCCTCCTTTTGAAGACCCCCAGGGGAGGGGCAAGCACCACTCCCCTTGGAAGTTGGTTCCAGCTCCTAGCCGCCCTGACAGTGAAGTAGTGCCTTCTGATATCTAGCCTGAATCTACTCTCAGTCAATTTATGACCGTTGTTCCTTGTTACGCCCTGTAGTGCTCGGGGGAACAGGGACTCTCCCATTGTCTGCTGGTCCCCCTTGGCAAGTTTATAGGCGGCCACCAGATCCCCTCTCAGCCTTCTTTTGTGGAGGCTACACAGATTCAGGTCCCATAGCCTCTCCTCATAGGGCCTGCCTGCTGCCTCCTAATCATGCAAATGGCCCTCCTCTGAACCCTCTCCAGGCTGGCCACATCCCTCCTGAAGTGCGGCACCCAGAACTGGATGCAGTACTCCAACTGCAGCCTGACCAATGTTGCATAGAGGGGGAGGATCACCTCCTTGGGCCTGCTCGTGATACATCAATGGATGCATGACAAGGTGCAGTTGGCCTTCCTGACTGCGTCCCCACATTGGAGGCCCATGTTCATCTTGGAATCAATAATGATTCCAAGATCCTTCTCTGCCTCTGTGCTGACGAGAAGGGAGTTCCCCAGCCTGTAGGTGTGATGCTGGTTCTTCCTCCCCAGGTGCAACATCCTGCACTTGTCCATATTGAAACCTATCCTATTCTCATTCGCCCACCTCTGTAACCTGTCGAGATCTAGTTGTAGCCTGTCCCTCTCTTCTAGCGTGCTCACTTCTCCCCACTTTTTAGTGTCATCTGCGAACTTGAACAAGGTGCTTTTCACCCCCTCGTCCAAATCACCAACGAAGATATTGAACAGTGTGGGCCCAAGGACCAAGCCCTGGGGAACCCCACTGCCCATATCTCTCCAGGTCGAAAATGACCCATCCACCACCACTCTCTGGGTGCGGCCCTCCAGCCAATTTGCAACCCATCTGACTGTGTAGGTGTCGACACCACAGACGCCTAATTTTTTAATGAGGATGGGGTGAGAGACAGTGTCGAAGGCCTTCCTAAAGTCCTGGAAGACTACATCCACCGCGACACCTGCGTCCAAGACTTTTGTGACCTGGTCATAGAAGGCCACTAGGTTGGTCTGACAGGACCTGCCTCTAACGAACCCATGTTGATTGCCCCTTAACATAAGTTCCCCTGCTGGCCCCTCGCCGATGTGTTCCTGGATAATTTTCTCGAAGAGCTTCCCCAGGACTGAGGTAAGACTAATGGGCCTGTAGTTTCCTGGGTCCTCCTTCCCTACTCTTCTGAAAATGGGGACCACATTGGCCCTTTTCCAGTCGTCAGGGACCTCACCAGAGCACCACGAGTGCTTGTAAAGCTGTGCCAGGGGTCCTGCAATGACCTCTACCAGTTCCCTAAGCACTCTGGGGTAGAGGTCATCAGGACCTGCTGATCTGAACACATCTAGTGCCTCCAGAAGTTCCCTGACTAGGTCCTCACTGACCCTGGGCCTGGCTGCGCCTCCCCTGAGTCCATCCGGAATCCCAGTGGGGGGAATGTCCCTGTCCCTGCTCAGAAAAATGGAAGCAAAGAATCCTGCAGAGGCCCCACATTATTTGGCACCTTCTTTTTACCCCCTATGTATTTAAAAAAGGACTTCTTGTTATCTTTGATCCAGGTTGCTAGTCCCAGTGCCATCTCTGCATTAGCCTTCCTAACAGCCCCCTACAATCTTGAGCCAAGGAGGTATAATCCTCCTTGGTGATGGCCCCTCCTTTCCATTGGGCATACGCCTCCTTTTTGGCTTTGAGGTGTTCATGGATGCTTTTGAGCACTCTTGCCCCCTTTGATCTGCATGGGGATTGTCATGCTTTGGGCTTGTTTTTGTGTCCATGTTTTTGACCAAAAGATAATTTCTACAAAAGAAATTATCTTATATCACTGTGAAAAAAATCAATCATTTGTTCTAGCATTAACTTGTATTGAGGGATGCACACCAGCTAATGAAAATAGAAATTTTGCCAGTTCACACAGGATCACCTTCATTTTCTTATGCCAAAACTTACGGAACAAAATAATTTACGTCACACAACTCTAAGCATGCTTACATTCCATCTTCCCCTTCAGAGCCATGCATGATGTATAGTCTAACAATTTAACTGTGCGATTTTAACTAGGACATGCAGTTAATTTCATAACAGAAAGAAGAAAACTGACAGGGAATTGCAGTTAAGTTATATCGACAACTCTGTAGCTGATCCTCAATTAGCACTTTTTTCAGGAACTTTTAATTGCTTAGTCTTTCATTTTAAATTCCAAAATGAGCTACAACTTTTGCAGTAAAAAAAAAAAAACTATCCTGTGTTGGGGTGCAGATTCTATATATGGCCTATTCCATATCCATATAACTGAAAAGAACAATATGATCTTTTTATGAGTCACAACAATTGAAATAGCTGGCTGAAATCATGCTGAAGTTCCTAGGAAAAAGATAAAGAAATTAAAATTGAACGGCCAAATAATTTTAAGTTAAATAAATATCCGTGCTGCACAAGATGGTATTATTTTGAAATCACCCCATTTTTGGAAAAGGATGCATCTTATATGGTAGTAAAAGTTATTCCCCTCAAAAATCCTCCAACAAACCAAAACCTTTTCAAATAAAATGGGAAATAAATGGAGAAAGGGGAAGTTTGAACACAGAAAACAGAGGACTGATCTACAGGGTGTTTTAACATTTCAGGAATTACATCTGCTTAGATAAAAAACTGGTTCAAGTGGCATTATCTCCATCCTCTCTCTCAGCATCGGTGTAGCTGTACTGATACAAATGTACTTATGTTAGTATCAATAAAGATGAAAGCTGCTTATGTAAGTCCAGGTATTTTTATAAAATACATAAAATGTGCTGCACTTAGCTAGGCATGTTACCTATATCATTTTCTAAACAGATATAGTTATGGCACAAAAACACGTGTTAAGAAAAAACATTAGTACATAATCTTGTTAGCACATGAATTGGGGAGGAGGGGAGGGAGGGGAAGATATACGTATTTTTCTGAAGTTACAGATTCACACAGAAGTTTAGGGTGGAAGGGACCTCGTGAGATCATTGGGTCCAGCCCCCCTGCTCCAGGCAGGAAAGATTGTTGGGGTCAAATAAAGCGTTTCTGTCACTCATCAAATGAGGTGTCAGGATGCAGGGGTCAGGACTCCATTAATATCCCTCCAGCTCCAGAATGAGAGGCCCATTATGCTTCTTCAGTGCCTTGTAGACCCAGTCCTTGCATACCTGATCCCAGCCCAGCAGCAGCTGGTACAGCTGGCACATCTGGTCCAAAGTGCCCTGGGATCCTCGCCAGGAAGAAAATGCTACTTAGCACTAATGGCTGGGAAATGGCCTGCCCATAATGGCCACTTCCTGTCTTCCCGGGGCAGCATTTCATTGAGAGATTCCGATCCGTCCTGATCCAGAGGACAACGGAGATGAAAGGCATGTTTTTGTACAACTGAAACCTATACAAAGCTCCTGCCTTTTCCTCTCTCTCTCATTGCTGAGATCAGCCTCAAGCTGGTTTACACCCCTAGCTGGTAAGTACTTCGTTAGTTCTTTTTTAAGAACCTTAAGGTACCTGACCTTTAAGTAATAACACACATCAACAGCCTGTTAAGCACTACTGTAACTTTCAGTTCCCAGACGAATACATTTCTATTACACACTTCAATGCATACACCCATGTGTACACACAGAGTAATAAGTTAAGAGAAAAGTACATCCTAGGGCATATGGTAAAGCCTAGTGAATCAGAGAAGAAAGAATATTTTCTATCTTATATTTTTAATCATTGACTCAGCAAGTCGAACTCAATTTAAAAGTAGAAGAGAAAACAATCAAAGCCCAGCTTACAATTACAGCTACTTTGGCTGATTACTTTTTCTAATGACAGAAACAGATGCCTTATTTTCATTTTTAGTTTTACAGAAAAATTTACCAATTAGTTAAAATCATCTTCAAGAGAATTCAAACAAGAATTTATGCAATGTAAGGAGTTACTACATATTTAAAATAATGTCACTTTGACTAAAGGCTGGCATACATCACAAACCTAAGAGGCTATGACACACTGAAACATACCACACTGCTCCACATATGCTATCTCCTTACACAACAGAGACACATTTGCACAGTTCTGCTGGTGGGATACCTATTTCTCATTCAGCAGTGGATTAACAGTCTCGGCAGTCCTAATTAGCCCACCTATAGCACTATACAAATGAACCATCACTACATCCAACTGGAAGGTAGTGCATGCAAAGCTTGACATGTTTAAGCATGCCACTGCTTGCCTGGCATGGTATGTTTGCAGTGCAGACATGTCCTAGGTCCCTGATACACATTACACTTAAGATGCTATTAACAAGTAAATCACCTTTTAAGTAATAATGTGGCCATACATTCAGGTAATTAATGCTGCAATAAAGCAGGGAATGAGCTACAAAGTTATTACATATATTTTGTATAATAGTTTTGTGGCTGGTTCCCACTCCATCTTAAATTCAATGTGTGACCAAAGCTCCAAAGTGCTCCTGAGGCTGGGAGCACTGATCAGCTAACTGGTGCACTCAGCTTCAGGAGCAAATGGAGATCCTGAAGGGTTGTGGTGAACTCCTAAAGCTGGGAGCACCCATCAGCAGACTGATATTCTGAGTCAGACACCTAGATTGTTAATTGGTGGTGCAAAGGAGTATGGGATCATCTCCTACCAGACACATGTAGCATGGCAGGAGGCATGACTGTTAGGTTCACAGATGAGATCCCATTACACCTTTAACTGCATACCTGCCAGAGGCCAAGGTTTCTCAATGGATGCCTTTGAACTTTACTAAAGTTAAACATAGAGAAAACACACTCAGGGCTATCATAAAAGGAGGGCCATCGCTTCACTTTCAGTTTTAGTTAACAAGAGGATATACTTTAGATACTGAGGAGATACAGTTGGAAAAAAAAGTGACCTTACCTCTCAGGGTCAAACACACTGTTGTCTGCTACCATGGCTTTTAACACATCCACATTTGCTGCAAATAGCACAAACAGAAAATATCAGACAAAATGTGTTGCCCTGGCTTTAATCTATCATATTATTGAATGAATAAAAAGGAAACATACTAAATATTTTAGTTTTGATACAGTCTAATGCTTAACACAGATGCATTTACTACAAGCTCACTAGCAGAAAACTGCTGCACTGAATAACTCCAAATTTAGCTCCATCTAGAAAGAAAAGCTTTCCGTTACAGACTAAAAAAGCAAAAAGTAAGGTATGCAAAGAAATTCTTATGAAATATAGTTTTATTTCAAGACTCAGACACTTATCTTTGAAAGTGTAAAGTTTTCATTTCTTGTGGGACTCAAAATTCTGACAAAGCAACTTTTCTGGTTTTGGTTATTTGAAAGCTTACATTAAGCAACGGACACAACTACCACTACTAACTGCTATCTACTAAGCACTCCCAGGCCATAAACTCATGCTAATTAATTTTAATCCACCAGTTGGATTGCAGAGGTATCATACTGTAACAAAATAAAACTGTGGGGGTAAAATACGCAATTTTTCTTTTTAACAGTGTACAACTACAAATGAATTAAAATCTAGGAATGGAAGGCTGATCCCTGTTCAAATCAACAGACTGAGGCAGCTAGCTCCCAACTCTGCACAACAATTCTAAGCAATTACTAAATTTTCTTTTCAGGGTGTTTATAACTATACTGAAAGTAGGTAAAACTGCTTTCAGTATTGTAAAGAAAAATCTGGTTTCATCCATGTAGGTCAGGGCTTTTTAACCAACAATCCAAGGGGTCAACTCACAGCCCGTGGAAGCTAATCAGTGTGCCTTGGCATGGCTCTGTTCACTCTGCCAGCCCCTTCTCTGCCACCAAATTTGGGATCTTTAGTCACTGCTCAAGACTCAACTCTGCGGCAAAAGAAAAATGGGAGACATGAGGCGGCTGCATTCAACTCCTGAGTTGTGGAGCTGTATGAAATCAGTGGCTCCAGTAGCTGCACCGACGAGTCATCATCCTGCCACTGGAGGTTGGTCACCCAACTCACAAGAAACCCCACAGTCCAGATGTGGCCCACAAGGCCAAATAAGCTGGAGACACTTGATACAGCTCTCAGGGCATCCCCAAAAGACACCTTGCCTCTGCATTGTTTTTGACATATTTTGAGAGCTGTGCAGCTATAGTACATGCTGAATCTGGTGTGTGCTGGTGTCTAGACATTAAGGGCAGTGTTACAGGTCCACAGAAGTTTAGAGCAGAAAGGGACCTCGTAAGATATCAGGTCCAGCCCCCCTGCTCTGGGCAGGAAAGACTGCTGGGGTCAAATAACCCCAACAAGGTATGCATCTAGCATGTATTAGAATTTCCACTGGGAAAACTGTCAAACTACTAAGGGATTGTTCAATACAGTAGAGCTACTCCCTGAATAAGGAGAAACACAACTGTCTTGAAACCCATGGAATTTCAGCTGCAAGTTGATTTGCAGGGGAGATTTAATCAATGGAGCAAGTTAGTACCACAGTCCTAATTCCATGTCCCTGCTGTTCTCCTACTCCTACTTAACTGCATGTCAAGCAACAAGCCAGCAAATATATAAAATGCATGCAGGTCTACATTTCATTATCCCGTTAACATTTTCCAATCAACTCTTACTGCACCTTTAACATTGGGTTTTTCCCCTTCTAACTACTTCTAACTGTCATTTCTAAACCATCCAAAATCCAAGTATTTAACCTTACTACAGATTAAGTCAATAGCAAATGTTTTGCTTCTAAGTCATTTGAATTAAAAAAACGGGACTAAAGAAAACAACTTGAATTACCATTCAACTAGCCCTCTGTTTGGCCAGACAGGCTTTGAAGTAATGTCAGATGCCTATTTAGCTGCTCAGAAATGTTTCTCTTCCCTCCCAATCTTCTATTGGGAAATATCCTATTTCTCCCCTGCCCTTCTTTGTGAAGATACCACCCTCATTAAGCAAACAGAAGCATTTGCTATCCTACTTTCCAAACTTTGCAAAAAGCTTTCTACTATTGCTCAGGTTTGGCTGAAGAAATCTACCCCACCATTCCAAGCCATTCATCTCAGTGTAAAGGGAAAAATCAAACTTTTGGGGTGTATTTCAACGCTAACATTAAATAAGCAAGCAAATTCTCATCTCATTTAAATATACCACAAGCAAATAAGCAACTTGTGCAAAGAGACTAGAGTGAAGAAGGAATAAAATGTCAAGGAACACAAAAGTCATGGTTCCTATAGGAACAAACTTCCCAGAAGGAAAAAGGACAAATTAATTTGAGATGAAATGCAAGAAGTTTGGCTTTAAAAAGCAATTTGAGAAAGTGAAGTAGGCACAAACAAGAAGTTATGATAGAAATTACAGAATATGAACTATGAGTGCCAACAAAATAACATTGAAACACCTGAAAAACATGCATGGTACCACAGAATCATAACTTTAAGACAACACTACACACTGATTTTAATCTGTACCTTCATTTCTCATAATATAGTTAACAATTTGTCCAACGGTGTCACTATTTTCATGTACAGTTTCATTCATTTCTAAGAGAGAAAATAAGAACTCAGTCAATATTATATCAGCCTAAAAACATTTTCATGAAGATACGAAAAACACTAAAATATTTCAATAAAAAAGAACTCTACAAGAAGAGCAAATAAAGAGTCATTTTTATTTTATTTTGACAAATCTTGTTGTCCCTATTCAGGTGTAAAACTAAAGCTTCAAAACTGAGCCTGTAATCTCCATATTTTAAGAATTTTAGCTGAACCCTTTAAAAAGCTCAATATTTAATAAACTTTGAAACACCTTCCTTTTCATCTCAATGTTATATGAACTGAAGTCTTTGCAGAAAAACGAAAGAGTAGATATGGAAATTAAGTTACTATGTACTAGCTACCAGAATAGTTTTGAGGCAAATTGATGGAGTTGTCAAGAAGCCTGCTTAGCAAATACAGTTCGCTTACCAGATTTCCGTGTCCAAACTGTCAGTTCAGCACCTTTCACTAGAACTAGAGGATAACAGAGCAGCATTTCCAACCCCAAGCTTTGGAAAATAGTAAGACTAACTTCAAAACCATTTAAATAAAATTAAACTTTGTAGTATTTGTCCTCTTGTGGTTGAAGGTTTAGAAATCATATTTTCAGGATTTTTCAGAACACTAAGATTTATTAAAATGAAAACCAAGATTCTCAACTGAAAGCATCACAGCAGGATACAGGGCTTTAAGGTACTTAATATCACTAATATTCAAGTGTACTTGTGATACAGTTGAAAAAACTGAGAAAGCATGGAAAAGCTTGGGACTGCAAGGTAGAACGGAACAGAAGTACTAAAGGATTTCAGATCTGCCTCCCCCTAATTCTAATAATTATAAAAGCCTAACTCTGTCCGTAATGCTTTATTCGCACTCTGATTGGCTGACAGAAACAGCCAATCAGAATACTCCAAGCGTGGGGAAGCACTGCCATGATTCTGAAGCCGTGCTGAAGACCAGACAGAGGGTGGCATTGCTGGCCTCGGCTCCCCTACCCCACTCCCTGCAAGAGGCAGAACAGCGGCATAATGGGGCACTAGGTGGCAGCACTCCATCCCAGTTCCCTCTCCTCCCACCCCCGTCATTCTTGACAGACAATTGGCTAGTACAAATATAAATTCTTCGACTCACGAATATGCAGTACATGATTTTTATATTAAATGTGCTGTTCTGGCCACTGCTTCATGGCCAGCCCTCTTTCTCTCTCTTCTTTAGAGCAACCTGTATCTGAAAACTGATATTAATGTGCTCCCCAGTCTCTTTTTCTCCAGACTAAGTACACCTAGTCCTATTTCCTAATATGGCTGGTAATTCCAGCCTCTTTGGCTAAGCACAGACAGCCAAAAAACTCGAGACGGAATCGATTCAGTCTTTGCAGGTTAGTCTAAGTTGTGTAGATTGAACCAATAAGTAAATATTCACTTTTGATTCTGGAAATGCAGCCACATGCCTATAGTGGTCCAGGCCAGAAGCCAGAGGGCACTAGAGCACACCTCTCTGCTCAGTTGGAGCAGACAGCTTGAGCCAAGCCTAGTCTGCCCACCCTGTGAATGGGGGAAAGGGGTTTGCAGGGAAGGAGGTGCAAAGCATCATCAGATGCTGGGGGACTGTGAGTTAACTTGAACCTGGAGGGAATCTAAGACAAAAGTTCAATAAACTGATTTAACTTAAAACACTTAACTCTGATACTATATCCATCCATGTGAACAGCAGTGGAGCCAGAACAGATCACAGTGGGATCCCAATATACCTCCTGTCAGTATATCAATCTTCTACCAGAAGGCAAGGTAGAAATAAACTTATAAACTCATCAAATCAGAGATGCATAAGCTTTCATGAGTGAGAGTTTGATTCATCAGATGCTATGAGAGAAAGCAGGCTATCAAATAGAGAGATCAGAATATAAAAGACAGGAAGGGGAGGCATTGCTGGAAGAGGCCAGCATGTAATAAAATCCATAGGAACAAAGGGTCACAAAAGATAATTCAGGTAATGGGATAAGAATACATAGTCCCTGTTTATACCATACATAACACAATCCAGTCTGTGGATGACTTCTTGTTCCAATGTTGTTCCACAATTTTGCATTCAAGTCAGCTTTTAAAGCTTTGCTGTGTAGGAACAGCTATTCTAAGGTCATAGACAGATTGTCCAGGAGGGTTTCTTAATGTTTTTGGATTTTGTCAGATTGATATCCTTTCATTCTTTCACTTTTCAATTGCCCTGTCTCAACATAGACAGCAGAGAGGCATTCTAAGTAGCTAATGGCAGATATTACATAGGTAGAGGTGCAGTGAATGAACCTCAGATGTTATAAACTTTGTTATTTGGTCCAGTGATGATGTGGCCTGTATAAGGGGGCACTGCTTGCATCTGGGTCCAGTGGAAGGTCTGGTGCCTCAGTAAGAGTGGGTTAGCCTGTTGCTCAAGAAATACCATTTGAGGTTGGGGGTCTGTCAGTAAGCCAGGACAGGTTTGTCCCCCATGGCTACCTTGAGATGGTTGTGCTTTTCCAAAAGAAGTTAGGTCATTAATGATATGTCCAAGCTGTGCAAGCTTAGAGCTGCAAGTGACAACCAGAGCGATTCTGTTGTCTTGGAGGCTGGTATTGTAGCAGGTGAGAGTATGGTCCAAGTCTGCCTTTGCTGGCTTGAGTGGCTACAGTTTTGGGACTGCATTTTAATTATAGGAATCCCTGATCCAGATTCTTAAGGTCTGCATCCCAATTGGTGGGAACAAAGCAGATATGGTTGCAATGGAGAACTCTGCTGTAGAAATGATGCATCTAGTGAACTCAGAATGAAAAACTGGTGGAGTGAAGGTAGCTGTGGCGGTCAGAGAGTTCTGATTTTATGTGGCAGTGATATGGCCACTGCAAGCTTTTACCGTGGTGCCTAGGAAATGAATTTCCTGGGTGGAGTACTCTAGAATCAGTTTGATAGAAGAGTGGAAGTTGTTAAATTCCTGGTAGAATTTCTCTAGAGATTCCTTCCCATGTGTCCATAGCATGAAGATGTCAACAATGTGCCTTAGGTCTATGAGGGGGTTAGAAGGGCAGCTGCAGAGGAAAAGGACTTCAAGGTCTGGCATAAGTATATTGGCATATTGGGGGCCAAGTTTCAGTTTGAATCAGGGTTCTACAGTCAGAGAAAATTAAAAATCCCAAGGTGGAAGTCCAGGGGCAGAATCCAAGTCCAAGGCCAAATCAGAGTTTTGGAGTCAGAAACCAAGTTACCAAAATCAAAAGGAACTTACAAAGAGTCAGAGCCAAGCAGGGTCAGAAGGCAGCAAACAGAGCACAGGATCAAGGAAGACTCATCACAACAAACTTTCAGGCAAACTGTTGGCTAGCCTGCAGTCTACTACCACACAGAGAATTAAATAAGAAGGCTGCTCTCCCCAACAGCCAGTCAGGGTATCCTAACAGTGGCCAGCTGGTTCATCAGCCAGGGCTGGGCTGCTAGTTAGCTTCTGGCCAGTTAGGCAAGTAGGCCAGGCTGGATGGACTACTTCAGCCCCCTGACATCCATCCCCTTTGAATAGTTAGTAATAGTTCATTTTTTCCACTGCATAGCAAACCTACAGATCCCTTGATCTTTCTAATGCATCTAACATTTGTTTTCAATATCTCTTGTCAGTTGTAATGTTTTGCCTTTGCTTATCCTTACCCATCTGTGTTAATCCTCTGTATACTTCCAGAGTTGCCTACTTTCCCATCCATTGTTGCTAAGTATCTTGCTTGATTTACAGATAAATGAAAAGCTCTCAAGTTCAGAAAGGTAGCAGTCACAAGTAATTATCTCATGGTCTATGAAGTCAGCATTATTACAAACATTTCAATATGTATTGTGTAGTATAGAAAAAAGGAAAATCAGCTATCAGTCATTCCAGATTAGTAAGCACACTATAATAATGAGAGAAAAGAGTTTTAGTAAACAGATTATTTACCTATATTTTCTCCAAGTTTTTCTTCTTCAATCTCCTGTTCAGCCTCTGTTGTACAACGGTACCCTTTTTTCTTAAGCACATGGCAGATGAGAACCCCCAAGAGGCCCATGATGAAAAAAACAGGAACTATTGCAAAAGCAACATATTCTGGGTGGTGAGTAACATCACTGGGAGGTTTAGTTGTAGTACTTTCCAAACCATGGCTTGCCAAAGGAGATGGAAATCTTTGATCTATGTAAATAAACAAACACATAGTTACTAGGATGCTTGTAAAAGCACCTCCAACCTGTGAAGTATTTGGTGGACTGGGATTGTATGAAGTGAAATCTATGAATGTCTTTCCACTAATTTAAGTTAGCTATGGACTATGTCCATTAATGAATTAGAACTCACACCCCTGTAAAAGTAGGGTTTCTCCACTTACAAGTGAAGAAAGTAGAACAAAAAGGTGAAGTTACTCAAGGCCCCAGGGCAGTTCATGGGCAGAGCTGGGAATAAAAGTAATACCTGGCAGGCCAAGCTCTAATTTTGTGGCCACATTCATTGCACAAATATTTATTAAACTCAGAAAACAGGGGATGGGGAAGCATAACTGGAATTCCAAGCCTCCCACAGTCGGAGAGCAGATATTAGATTTAGCATTAAGCCTCCCGGACAACCTGGACTTACTCTTTCTATATTAGAATGCTGCAAAACATTTCAAGCTGTAGCTGTCCCTTTATGATCTCATGTGGTTTTTGCTCTACTCTTCCTCCTCAGTTTTCATCTCATGCTAATCAACAAGACTATTATTTTGCAAGTCCATTATTTAATACAATAATATTTTAAAAATTTAAAAGTGTCTAAAGTTTCTTCTCATAAAAAGGCACGTGTTTTGGTCTAAGAACTTGAAATCTCTCTCATTACAAAGGTTGCCATCCCTTTTAGTTTGTATCAATTTTTTACAGATTTGGTCAAATCCACTCTCTGTAGTATACGCGGTGCTAAATACATACATTGCACTGTAAAAAAATGGAAACTATTAATCACTAGTCATGATTTGTTATGTGAAATATTGCATCCCTACACATTTAAGGTACTCTTTTAGTGTTCTGCATTTGAAGGGAAAATTGGGTAGAGCTTGTTCCTAGGACATAAGTTATGATGCAGGGATGACCAATCTGTGGCATGCATTCCGTAAGTGCCAAGGGTAGTTCTATGTATGGCACACAGCAGATTGGGGAAGGGACAAGAAGCACAGCAGCAGATAGGAGAGGGAGCAGAAGGCAAAAGCAGAAGATCAGGCAAGAAGCACAGAGCACAGACAGAACACTGGGAAGGGAATCAGAGTGGCACTCAGAGGACACAGGTCTTAATTTGTGTCATGCCTCCCTAAAAGTTGTAATGTATGCAAAAGATGCATTTGATACCAATACTTCCAGTTAAAGTGGAAACTGGAAATGTCATTGCTCAGCCTCAGTTTTCAGAAGTATCACAGTGACCCCGTGTTTATGGTTGTTAACAAGTTTAGAAGTTCATGTGTATGTGCAAATATTTATTAAATGAGCGTGGTAGAAGAAGAAACCTTTTCAGATTTAAACATTTTGTAAATATTAACAGCAATATAAACCAGTAAGCATTTAGGTTACTAGTTAATGTAGTACGTTACAAAACAAAAACGTATGATACTTTGTACTATATATTATGCTATGTTCCGATAACTAAATGCAAAGATTTGTATGTTACATTTCAATAATTAAAAAGCAAATAACTACAAGCAAAATATGAACTATTTTGAAAAGAGAAGGTGCAATCCAAATGTTGCAATTTTTGCAACAATTCCACTGAGATAAAAAAAAAATATCAAGTTTTTCTCTACTGCAGTGGTGGGGCGGGTAAGAAAAGAAATATAATCACATGCCATTTCGATGATTTACGAAGAAAACTGCTTTCTTCAAATACTGACCAATTAAAAACAAACATGGGAACCAATATAATTAGCAACATATAACCCATATGGCAGATTGGTCTTTCTTAAATAAATTATGCCTCAAAGACTCATTTGTTCTTAAAGCATGCATTTTATTTTGATTGAAACCAATCTTAGTTTCATCTGTATCACTGCATTGAGCAAGCCAGGTTGCCATACTGAAACACCCTCAGGGTCATCAATGGAGAGAGTATGAAATGATGCCCTTGTCAGCAGTAAGTAGAAACTTAATAGCTCTCTTTCTTGCTTCTTTTTACTGCTCACAAGCTTGGCTGTTACTCCATTTACCCAGTTCCTTCTTTTGTTTTTTTTCACTCCCCTGTCCTTGAATTTTGAAATACTTCTTTATTTATGGTACTCTGATGTCATCAGCAGTTGAAGTGGAAACAGGAAATGTCATTGCTCAGCCTCAGTTTTCAGAAGTATCACGGTGACCCCTTGTTTATGGTTGTTAACAAGTTTAGAAGTTCATGTGTATGTGCATGTGCAAATATTTATTAAATGAGCGTGGTAGAAGAAGAAACCTTTTCAGATTTAAACATTTTGTAAATATTAACAGCAATATAAACCAGTAAGCATTTAGGTTACTAGTTAATCTAGTACGTTACAAAACAAAAATGTATGATACATTTTTTGTACTATATATTATGCTATGTTCCGATAACTAAATGCAAAGATTTGTATGTTACATTTCAATAATTAAAGAGCACATAACTACAAGCAAAATATGAACTATTTTGAAAAGAGAAGGTGCAATCCAAATGTTGCAGTTTTTGCAATTCCACTGAAATAAAAAAAAAAAAAATCTTATCAAGTTTTTCTCTACTGCAGTGGTGGGGGGGGTAGGAAAAGAAATATAATCACATGCCATTTCGATGATTTACGAAGAAAACTGCTTTCTTCAAAAATCTAATAAATGTAATAAAATTTTCTGTTTATTACATTTGAAATGCATCAGTCAGGTCCTCAGTACTCTCTCTTTGATAAAGGTGCTCAACAAAAGTATTGAAGAATCTAAATAATGAAGAAATCTTATTAAAGAATTCTTAAAGAATCTTATATAATTAGTAATAACCTGACCTATATTTTCCCAGACAACTTACGAAAAATAGACTCTTGAAGAAAGTTGTCCACTGGGAACTTGTCTCCCCCAAGAAAGTTTTACTTGAAGGGATTCTTCTGGCACAGTGCTATCAGCATAACAATCGGTAGAATACTTTTGTATTTGGCTGTCTCCCAGAGCAACATATTCGCAGGCAGATGGCACTGCCAAGAAACATGTGATACCGTAGAGTAGTCATCTCAGGATCCCTGCAGCCAAGCATGTTATTTTGTAGCAGTTTTTTGCCATGCCTTCTGGTATGCCAACGCTCCTTTCATAGAACTGCGTAGGTTTGAAGTCAGATTCCTACAAAACCCTGTTACATCCTATAATATACTTATTTTTTTACATCATTTTTTCCATCTCATCACTAAAACCATGGATGACAGACTAGCAGAGCTGTAGTCTCTCTTAAGGAGCCAGACATAAAATAAAGAAACTAAGAATAAGTGAAAGAGAAACAGTAAATGCAGCCAACTAGTTGCCGTAGGAATTCACTGAATAACTACACACAGTAGCAGTGGTTTAAGCCTCATTCAAGCACTTGTAAAGGAAGCCTGGAACAGGTAGCAGTAGCTCCAAAATGTTCTCACATGGAAGGCCACATTTCTGAACATGTGTGCCAAGTTCATCCCAGTTCTGCTACACCCAAACAGCAAGATGACAACTAGTCAGATGGTAAGAAACAGGTAGCAGCAACCACTCTTTGGAAGCTTGCAATCCTGGACTGCCATCAGCCAGTGGCCAGCTTGACCCTCCGCTACAAACAATCATTCTCCACACTGTGTAGTGCCTGCTTTGATCAGAACACGTAGAGTATCTGGGTCTGCTTTAAAAGTTGAAGGATGTCTTGGTGCACTTCTTGACCCTTCTATCTTTCCAATTAGTCGCCAAATTTCACATTCTCCCAAATGGGGAGTCTGAAGGAGCTCAAAAATAGATATCTTTTTTGTTCCTTATCAACTCACCAGATGTAGCAAAGATATTCCTCAAAGACACCCTAGCTAGCAGAGGTCACTGAGGCAGCCAAATAGAATTAGTGAGGTATGAAGGAATATCAACCGGCCAAAAGTAACTGCTTTAATGTCCTACATTTTTTTACCTCAGGCTCTATGAAATTTTGAAGCTTCAATCACCAGTTGCTTCAGGAGGCTTTAACAGCATATAGCATGACAAGTATATGAACAGTACTTTTAACCCTTATGGCTTTAGAAGTGTTTGCATAACTTTCAGGGAGCATATTAAAGACTGCTAACCTTAGCACAGCCAGAAGGCAAGGTAAAGATACACCATATAGGCTGAATCAGAGCTGCATAAGCTTTTATGACATATGCTCACAAACTGAAGTAAACTGTTGCTTTACTTCATGAAGCAAGCTCATGAAAGCTTATGCCTCTCCAATTCAGTTAGACTATGTGGTGCATCTCTAACTTGCCCTCTACCTGTGATAAGATGGGATAGAGGTACTATACAGACTAAATGAGTAAGAGGCATAAGCTTTCATGAGCAAAAGCTCACACAAAAGATATTGAAGCAAGCTGAGTTTCCTTATTGGTGTGGGACAAACCTCTACACAGAAAAGTCCAGGCAAAGATTAAATACTACTTTTAGGATAAGTCTGTGAAATGTTGCCGTAAGACCGTAACGCTGCACATGCTAAGCTCACTGGCATTCTCCAAAAGTAGGCAAGATTCCCTCTCTCTGCCAATTAGTGAGACGACCAGAGTCCAAAGTTACAAGGTTAACCACACTACTACTTTCTCCTAAATCTCACTCCAGCATGCAAGTAATGTGGAAATATTGCTTTTTTTTTTTTTTTTTTTTTTAAAGACTGGGTAAGCTTCATGAAACAGTTTTACAATTATTTCTTTTTTTAAGTATGCACTGCAAATATTCACCCACCTATTTTAAACTACAGTAACACCACTGTGCCTCTGTTCTGCTGAAGTACAAAAAATAGTTTCAAACATAGGAAAACAGCTGAAAAGCATTTCCAAAACTATGGGAATGTCTTTTAGTGTTTCCTGTTGTACTATTGTTTAGTACAGTGATGCCCAACCTTTCCTGACTGGGAGCCAGATGAATGGTGTGGCGTCAGTCACAGGTCAGATCCAGTGCACAGGATTGGCCTGTGGACCCGATCCAACACGAGGTCAGCAT